AAAAAAAAATGGAAGAAACAGTCACTGTCCCAAAAAATAAATGGTTGATGTTCAACCATTTCAGGAAGTAGTGTATGATTAAGAGCCAATGATAATGAAGGAAGAAGTCCACGGTACACTGAAAGTTGGCAAAGACCAACTCTCTGGGAATTGATGGAATACGAATAGAAATTTTTCAGCAAATGGATCCAGCACTGCATATATGTCAAGAAACTTGTGCATATATGCACTCACTCATATATGTCAAGAAACTTGTGAGTCAGCAATTGGGACAACTGAGTGGAAGAAGTGCATATTTATGCCGATTACAAAGAGAGGTGACCTAAAGGAATTTAAAAATAATCTTACAATATCATCAATATCACATGCAAGTAACTTTTGCTGAATAAAATTTAAAACGGCTGCAACAGTACATTGACAGGGAATTGCCAGGGATATAGAATGAGAGATATCATTGCTGACATCAGATGGATCTTGACTGAAAGCAGAAAATACCAGAAATAAATTTTTTCTATACTCTTATTTACTGTGCAGAGGATTTCAACCTTGTGGATCCTGGCAAGCTTTGGTGACATTGTGGAAATGGGTATTCTGGAACTCTGTGCTCATGAAGAGGTAGTCATTCTAGCAGAACAAGGGAAGACTGAATGCTTTAAAATAGGAAAGGTGTATGTCAGGGTTGTATTCTTTCACTGTACTTATTCAGTCTGTATGCTGAACAAATAATCTGAGAAATTGGGTAATATGAAGAAGAACCTGGCATTATGATTGGAGGAAGACTCATTAACAATCTATGATATGCAGATGATAAAATTTTGCTTACTGAAAGAGAAGAGGACTTAAAATATCTACTGATGAAGTTCAAAGACCACAGTGTTCAGTATGAGTTGTATATCAATGTAAAGAAAACAAAAATTGTCACCAGTATACCAATAAATAGTGTCATTGTAATTGAAGAGGAGATGTAAGTTGTCATTTTGCTTGGATTCACTATCAACCCTCCTGGAAGCAGCAGTCAAGAAATTAAATGACGAATCAGGCAGATCTATTGCAGAAGACCTTTTTACAGTGTTCAAGAGCAGTTTGAGGCTTAAAGTGTGCCTGATCCAAGCTATGGTATTTTCATATGCATTTGAAGCCTCAATATGCATATGAAAGTTGGACAGTGAATAAGGAAATGTATAGAAGAATTGTGCATTTGAGTTGTGGTTTTGGGGAATAATACTGAAGGTGCCATGTTCTGTTACAACAACAAACAAACCTGTGTTGGAAGTACAGCCAGAATGCTCATTAGAAACCTGGAAGGATGTCAAGACTTTGTCCCTCATAGAGAAGGACATCATGCTTGGTAAAGTGGAGGTTCAGCCATAAATAGGAGAGACCTCAATGAGATAGATTGGTACAGTGGCAGCAGCAATAGGTTCAAGCTTAACAATGATTGTGAAGATGCCTCTAGACTGGGTAGTGTTTCTTTCTGTTGTGCATCAGGTCGCTGAGTCAGGATGGACTCTTTAGGCACCTAACAACAATCACAAAAGAAGTTCTAGAATTCTGTATTTCTGTACATGGACCAAAAGGCAGTTGTTCAAACAGACACGAGAACACTGAATGGCTTAAAATTAAGAAAGGTGTGTGACAAGGTTGTATTCTTTCACCATACTTATTCTACCTGTATGCTGAGCAAATAATCTGAGAAGCTGTTTTATATGAAGAAAAACGTGGCATCAGGATTGGAGGAAGACTCATTAACAACCTGCGATATGCAGATAATACAACCTTGCTTGCTGAAAGTGAAGAGGACTTAAAACATTTACTGATGAAGATCAAAGAACACAGCCTTTGGTATGGATTACATCTCAATGTCAAGAAAACAAGAATCCTCACCACTGGACCAATAAATAACATTCTTATCAACGGAGAAAAAAATGAAGTTGTCAAGGACTTCATTCTTCTTGGATCAACTATCAACACTCATGGAATGCAGTCAAGAAATCAAATGACAAGTTGCATTAGGCAGATTTTCTGCATAAGATCTTTTTAAAGTGTTTAAGAGCAAGGATGTCAGCTTGAGGACTAAGGTGCACCTGACCCAAGCTATGGTATTTTCAATAACCTCATATATGTGTGAAAGCTGGGCAGTGAATAAGGAAGACCATAGAAGAATTGATTCTTTTGAGTTCTGGTGTTGGAGAAGAATACTGAAAGTGCCATGGGCTGTTAAAAGAACCAATAGATTCGTTTTGGAAGAAACGCAGCCAGAGTGCTCCTTGGAGGCCAAGATGGCCGAACTTCGTCTCTCATACTTTGGACATGTCAGGAGGGACCAGTCACTGGAGAAGGGTATTATGTTTGGTAAGGTGGAGGATCAGAGAAAAAGGGGGAGACCCTCAACAAGATGGATTGTATAAGGTCACTATGAGTCGGTCCCGACTCGATGACACCAAACAACAGCAACAACTACTTGCACTAGAATAAAAGCAGCCGCACATTTGCACTAATAGCATGCAGAGTAGTCCTCTAACCTTGGTTCAGACATTACCTCTTCTGGAAGTCTCTTTTAGCTCTCTTGAATAGGGTTATTTACATTTTTACCATGTTCCTCCAAACTTAATAGGTTGACCATGCTGAACTGTGGTGACTTAATTGTATTTTCTTCTAAAACATTTAGTATTTTAATCATTTAGTGTTTGGAGGGTTTATATTAGATTCTTCTGAATCGGGCTGCTAATCTCATGGTTGGCAGTTCGAAACTACCAGCCGTTCCATGCGACAAAGATGAGGCTTTCTGCTCCCCTAAAGAGTTACAGCCTTGGAAACCCTGTACAGGGTCACTATGAGTTGTTGTTGTACCGACTTCACAGTACCTAACAACAACAACCTGAAACCTCAATGCTGTCCAGAAATCTCTCTCCCAGGTCAGCACTCTCTTATCTACTGAAAAGTCAGTTTCTTTTAAAAAATACTTATTTGATCATCTACTCCCACTTGGAAAAAAAAAAAGACCCTATTTGCCCCTTGAATCTATAACATCATCTGATTTCTGACTCCTACTTCACTGCTGTTGTCAAACTGACTCCCATAGGTTTCTGAACACACTTAACTCCTTCTTGCCTTAGGACCTTCACAGCTATTCTCCTAGTCAGGAATGCGCTTTCATTTCCTTCTTCTGTGAGTTACTTCTTCAGTGCATGGAAGACTTCTGCAAAGAAGTCTACCTCAGCTCTCCATACGAGGTTAGATACCCCCGACATTTGTGCTCATGGTATCTCCTTGTTGTACTTCATGTCATCTATAACAGATTTTCTTTACATAAGTAATTGTACCAGTTAATTTTGGTGCTCACTAAAAGATGGGAAGCCCTAGAGGCCAGTTCCTGTGCCCGTTTTATTTATTGATGATTCCTAGTGCAGTGTCTTTTCTTTTGCACATATAATATAATTTCTGTCTCCACTGACTATCTGCCTAAATGCAGGATAGTTGTACCTGTGACCCTAAGTGAAATGACAGATGACAACCATTTGATTTCATGTGGCTTCACCTCTGTAACTTCTAGTATCCACAGGTCATTGGGACACATCTGAATTTCAGAGGAGCAGGCCATATGGTCTGTCCCTTAGCCTCACAGTACCCAGAAAATGGAACTATCGTAACACTAGTTGCTGTTTCATGAAATATCTTTAAAAGGGATCTTTTTTTCAAAAGACATAAAAAAAATCACATGAGCACTTATTAGATAGTAGATTCTTGGGTCCAACAGCTGCTAATTTTGATTCAGAGTTAGATATTTGCATTTTATAATGAGTACCCAGGTACCTTTCACTTAGATGTAGTCATGATGAAAAACACTTTCCAAGTTCAAAATACATATGAAAGATCACAAATTCACTTAATATGGGGGAGGTGATTGTTTTCTCTACATAATGCTTTGCAATAGTAGGATTTCTCACTTTTTAAATAAGCCTTATCTCTAAAGATAGTATTTAAAATCTCAGCTCTATGCATTGTCAGTATCACTTTACATGAAATACCTCTCTTTTTCTTCCCACAATTCAATCTTCTGTATTTCACTCCTAATTGCTACTTAATCTGACAATGCAAGATGATTTTGGCAGTGATTAATTTGAAGGGTCTGCAGCCACTCACTCACTATTTAAGACAATCCTGTGTGCATAGCCTGGCTTATGCTGGTGTGCTATGATTCTCTTTGAAGGGTTGTTCCAAATTCTGTGCATGTCTTTCAGATTTAACCATGGTGTTAGGCACTCTCTTCTTTGTCTGCATTTTTGTGAACTTTCAAAAACTACCTTCCCTGTAACAAGGTGGGGAGAAAACATATCTGCTGCCAATTACAAATACCAAAGGAGATTTATATTCCATGTTAGCTAAAACCAGCAGAGAGCTACTGGCAGGGTGCTTTGCAGAAACCAGGCTCTAAAACACAATGTTTTGAAATAGACTAAAGCAAATAAATGCTGGTAGCAGCAACCAGAAAGCAGCAACTTCTATCAAGGACAGTGGGGAAATTGGGAAGTGTGTGTTGCAAATCAGGGCTGCAAGAGAAAGCTCCTAAAGCTGGTGATAAATAATACTAACCCTCTCGCTTGAACTGGAATATCATTTTCATGTGAAATATTTGACAAAGATGTGCTTCACTCATCTTAAGTTTAGTTTTGCCTCAAAGGTACTAATGGAACAACCTGTATAATTTAGACAGGACAGCTTTGGGCAATCTTATTAGCAATATAATACCCTCATCTCCAGAAACCTAAAGATAAGCTTCCTCATGTGCCCTTGAGAATTTCTTCAATCTTTCCTCACGTTCATGCTAAAGCCAAAGGGATTTGAGTAGGCATCCTGAACTGTCTGCCTCAACTGTATCCTCCTTCCCAACCCCACGAATGTCATTTGTTCCTTCTGAAGAGAGAAGAATTGTGAGATAACAGCAAAAACATCATATAGGAAGAAAGCAAAAGGTCATTAAGAAGACACGAATGCAGGAAAAGAACAAAATGGATATCAAAAGAAACGATGACACTAGCTCTCCAGTATAGACTTACTAGAGCAAATGCAAGAAATGAAGAGGTAAAAGAGGTGAAAAGAAAACTTCAAGGGCAGCTTGAAAAGACAAAATCAAGTATTATAATGAAATGTGCAAAGACTTGGAGTTAGAAAACCAAAAGGGAAGAACATGCTCAGCATGTCTCAAGCTGAAAGAACTGAAGAAAAGATTCAAACCTCTACTAACAATATTGAAGGATTGCTATTGTGAATAATGCTACAATGAACGTTGTTGTTGCTGTTGTTGTTAAGTGCTGTCAAGTTGGTTCCAACTCATAGCAACCCTGTATAGGGTTTCCGAGAAGCAGCTGGTGAGCTTCAACCACCGACCTTGCAGTTCAACCCAACTTTGCAGTCCAGCGTATTAACCCACCAGAACTCCACAGTGAACATGGGTGTGTGCCTATTTGTGTCATGTCTCTCATTTCTTAAGGATATATACCAAATACAGAGATTGCTGAGTCATGTGATATTTCTATTTCCTATCTTCTGAAAAAGTGCCGTCCATTTTCTACAGTGGTTGCACCCATTTTATAGTCCAGACTGTAGTGTAGGGTGATCTCAGACTTTCCATATCCTCCTCAACATGTATTGTTTGTTTGTTTTTGAGAACTTAGCTATTAATGCTGGGGTAAAATGATATCTTCATTGTTATTTTGATTTGCATCTCTCAAATGAGTATAGCCCTGTTGAATAGGCACTGGACTGATAACTGCAAGGTTGGTGATTCATACCCACCAATTGTTACTTGGAAACCCTAAACAGGGTCATTATGTATCAGAACCAACTCCATGGCACTTAACAACAGCAACAAAGGGCTACTGATCCACATGCATTTTTCATGTTTGTTGATCATCTGAAGGTCTCCTGCCCATTTTTAAACTGAATTATTTGTCTTGTTCATTTTGAAGTGATGAAGTGTTCTACAAATTTTACAAAGTAGTCCCTTCTTATTATGTCATTGTCCAAAATCCCCCTCCCCCATCTGTGTGTTCTCAACTTACTCTTTTGGTGAGATCTTTTGATGCACATCTGTGTCTGATATTTAGGAGGTCCCAGTCATGTATTTTGTTGTCTTCTATGTGTGTGTTTCAGTTATGTTTGATAATGTAGGTCTGCCATGCATCAGAGCCCTTATCTTTTTGTTGATGAGCTTCAAAGTTCTAGGTGTTACATATAGGTCTTTAATCCATGCTGAGTTTGCTTTTGTGTATTGTGTGAGATATTGGGCTTGTTTCATTCTTCTGCAATTGGATTTGCATTTGTTGAAAATAGCCCTTTCTAATTAATATGTTTTTGTCTTTTGTCAAAGATGAAGTAACTGTAGGTGGATGGGTTTGCTTCTGGTTCAACAATTCTGTTCCATTTTACCAATACCAGACTGTTTAGATAAGGTGCTTTAGTAGAACTGAGTATAATAGAGTTGTGAAATCATTAATAAAGCAATTTGGGTAAATATAGCTTTTTAAAGAATTAAGTGTAGTTAATAATGCTTGTTTTTAAGAGACTATTTAGCCAATATTTCATACAGTTATTGAAACCATTCTATGCAATTATAATAACATAGCATTCTTTTAAGAATTTGTGTATGTCTGATTAAGATATTAGGTATTTAATGAATTATGTTATTTCGGACTTTTGCAGTATTCATAAGCATATAAGTGCCACAAAAATTGTCAGAAACCAGCCCCGACAATTTGTGAGAGCTTGGAGGGAGGTACAGATTCGGTGAAAAAACACACAGAGTCAATGGGTCGTTTTGCGTCTCAGGCAGATGGTGGTAATGATGACTCTCTGATTCTCTCTTTATTTCAAAAATTGTTGCTTCTTATATCCCATTTAGAATATACTATGATCTCACAATAGTCACGTACAAGCAGTTACAAATCAATCAAATATTATATTGTTACATCAAAGGTACAAGAGGAACACAAGGTCACCAAACATTCCTGAGTCTCTATACTCCTTAGTTACTCCTTAGTTACCTTGATAACGTCTGCCTTCTGTGAGCGACTCTATTTCTCTCTAATCTTCCCTAAAATGTCTAGTTTGGCCTTGATTTGTTTTTCTCTAATCCTTTTAAATGTCAGGTTAATTTTAAATAAAGTTCTACATCTTAACTTCTAACTTTACCAACATCTATTACTTTCTATAGATTCATTATTTACAGCTCACAATCAAAAACATAATTTTTACTATAACTGGTCATACATATAATTGATCAAACAAGAACATAAAAGTACCCTAAAGTTTCCTAGTTAAGAACAAAGCAGTAATTTTCTAATGCTAACAATTATTCAAAACTTCTAATCAAATTTTTACTTCTGTTCTTAAGCTCTCACTGCTCTTGACTGTCTCCAAACTGCTTTCTAAAGGCCTTAATGTCTTTGACTAAAACTACATGGAATGTTTCTTACAATTTTAAACTTGAATTGCTAAAACTTTAGCTAGTGTGATTATTTCTAATG